AAACCCTTCATTTGAGATACGTGGTCCGCACGCGGAGCATGTCTTAAAAACGGCACCGTACTCAGCTGGGGGGGGGGGGGGGCATTATCTCGGCATCGAGGTCTGCGGCCTTGGGGCAAATCGGCCAGTGGGGCCCAGGCCACGCCGCTGGGGGTGGGGATCGGTGAAGCGATACTCAGATAGGGGGGGGGGGGGGTAATTTTCTCGGCATCGAGGTCTGTGGTCTTGGGGCCTTGTCCATGGCCCTCGGCAGTGCTCTCCGGCCGCCGGGGGCGACGCTCCACGGGCGGCGCCGCGTCCGGGGCGCCCCCCGCGGGGGGTGCGCTCGCGGAGCTTCCCTGGGCGGCCGCCGGAGAGCCGAGTTCTGTGGCCCGGCAAGGCGCTGGGGACGGGGATGCAGTGTTTTGATTCGCGGGTCTGCCGGTTGAAAACTATCCCAGGTAAGGGGTCCCGGTTAGTGATTCTGAAAGGTCGAGCGCACCTCGTCCGGTCGAAGCTAAGCGGGCCGCGCGAAGCTTGAATTAACAAAGAGGGGGGGGCAGAAGGAGAGCGGCCTCACGGCAAGGCCAGGAGGAGGCAAAGCCTCGGGATCAGGCGGTGCCGAAAACGACGTGCGGGGACGGGGATACAGCCAAGGCGCTGAAAGAAGGAACCCTTCGGGTTGGGGAGGGGCTCGGCGTTCCTTACATGTCGTAGGTCCTCCAGGGCTGTTGCTCCAGCGTTCCTCGTCCACGCAGGCGGGTTTGGGGTCAAAGAAGGGGCTTCGTTCCTGTTGTGGCCCGAACTGCGCCGGGGACGGGGATGCGGCCAAGGCGCGGAAGTAAGGGACCGTTCGGGTTGGGGAGGGGCGCGACGTTCCTTACATTTAGTAGGTCCTTCCAGGGCTGTTGCTCTAGCGTTCCTCGTTGTTGTTGCCCGAAAGCCGAGTTGTGGCCCGAAAGTCACCGGGGACGGGGATGCAGCCAAGACGCGGAGATAAGGGACCATTCGGGTTGGGGAGGGGCTCGGCGCTCCTTACATTTATCAGAGCGTGGATTGCCTGCCCCGCTTTCGCTTCCAGGCAAAACCAGGTCATACCACGCGCCTCCTCTTCAAGCGGCCTGACCAGTACAGGCCGTAGTTTGGCATCGCTTGGCGTCTCTTGGAAGCGAGGGTGGACAAAAGCGAGGTAGGTTTGTTTCCCCCCTGATTTAGTAGGTCCTTCCATGGCTGTTTCTCTAGCGTTCCTCGTCCACGGGTTTTGGGGTCAAAGAAGGGGCTTCGTTCCTTATTTGGCCTTCCTTCCGTCAGCGGCCCGACTGTAGGCACAGGGGGGATGCGTCGACCCCCGATCACCCATTGATCGCCGACAGGGGCCCTAGAGCCCCACCCCTGCCAGGAACGTGCGGCTTCACCATCGGGAGCGCATCGCCGGTCTATCGGCGATGTTTCTCCGATTCCAAGTCGATATTCCGCCCCCTGTGCCATTCCCTTCGATAGAGTCGCCGAGATGAGCGACGCGAGAAGAGGTTTTTTCGGCGGCGCGCGGGCGGGGGGAAGTGAGAAAATTATTTGGCATCACTCGAGCGTGTGCGTTTCTCCTCGGCGAAAACCGTCGAGGAGCATCCTGGATCATCTTGCAAGAAAATAAACGCACGAAGCCAGAACATACACAGGGAACGGATGTCCGAACCATGGCAGGAGGTGCGCGACACAAGAAAATTGGTTCTCGGCGGCGAGGGAGCGGGGGAAACGAAAAGGAACAGGCCTTCTTAGAAGGCGGCGGGGCTTCTCGGAAACTCTCGCGTTTTTTGAGCAGTTCGTTGCGTCTTCGGGGAAGGTTTTGGGAATTTCTCAGAAGGCTGGGGGACTTCCGAGCCTTCTCGCAAGGCCCTCCCCTTCTCACTTCCCCCCGAGATGAGCCACACAAGAAAACGGGCCCGTCTTCGCCGACGTTGTCGCGTAAGCTGCCCGCGTAAGGTCGCGTGCGAGCGCCCCGGTTGCCAATGTGGCGTGCCGCGCTAGCGACCCGCGAGAGTTTCCGCGTAAGGTGCCTATGCCATCTCGCGTATGATTTAGTCGGGCGTGTCCCTCTACAGGATGAATATTCCATCAGAATCTAACAATAGTCTGGGGTCGATGTGTTTAGTATGTTTTCGCTATTTTTGAATATTGTTCAAATCTTTTCCTTTTTCCTTGAAATCCCCCTGTAGGGGGTATGCCCGACCTGAGCGCAAGACCAGTGTCTGATCGTCGCTCGGATTGGGTCCGAGTGGGTGGGACCGGCGGGCCCCGCCGTATCACCGATGCAGGCGCCGACGTCGCCCACGCACCGCTGCATCAGGGGTGCACTGGCGATGCGGCGCGATTCTCCGACCCCCGCTGCTCGGGCCTCGTTGAAAGAGGCCCCAGACGGTGCCTTCCGCTGGCCCCACCTGGTGGTGAGTCGATCCCGGAGCCCCCACGATGTTTGTTCTTTCCATCAAGGGAGGAAAAGAGCACTCAGACCCCGGCAACTGGCGTTTACTAAACGGCCGGCCCTGGGCGTGTACTACACAACGCCACCCTGTTCGATTCCTTCCATGGGTGCGTCTGCTGAACGGCTTCGCGTGTCGGGGTGCCTGTTCTCGGAGCGGATGTTCTGCCCTCTCATCCAGCCGCGGCGTTCTTCTTCCTGTTCGGCCTCTGGGGCCCGTCACCCGGCCCCGGGGCCGCCTGACCGGAGCTGGGACGGGGTAGCTGTCGGGACCCCTCTTTGCGGTCGCAGGCTGCGGTGGTCCCAGACGCGCTCGCGCCGTGGAACAACCACGGCGCGGCCGGGCTCGGACCACCACTCCGCGGCGTCCGGGGGGGCCTCGCCAGGCTCTGGGACCGTCAGGCGGCCTGGGCGGGGACCTGTGGTCATCCCAACCCAAAAGGGGGTCCAGCTGAAAGGGGGTGGTGCAATAGAGTTCGGGCAATTGTCTTGCAGATGCACCGCGCCGGAGAATTGTGTTGCATTGTATTGCAAGTAGTGTATCGCACGCGCAAATCCGATCTGTGGGGGCTCGGGGTGGCCGCGCGCACTTGGACCCAGGGGTCGCTCTCCGAGAATGTCTTCGGGCGATGGTGTTTCCGAGAGAGCCAGACGGTGCGGTGACGGACCGTGTGGGTCTTTCCTGGGGATTCCGATGTCACTGGACGGTCTGTCACCAGACCGTTTCTGGGGTCGTCGGCGTCGCCAGCGGCATCGTCGCCGTCGGCTTCACCACGCTCCTGGCAGCGATGAACCCGAAGGCCTCCGCAGACCTCCTTGGGGACTCTGGGGAAGGATCGTTGCCGGGAGCGTCGAATGGTAGAACAATGGGGACCAGGGGGGGGGGCATATCGCGGCTAGGGGTAAGTCGGGCCTGTCCCTCTTCGGAGGAGAATTCAAACATTGTCAACAAATTCTCTTTGGAAGATTTGTTGCATATGTTTGACCATGCTCTGAGTACTGCTTGCCTATTTGAATTTGTCGCCCAGAATCAGGGGGACAGGCCCGACTTAAGGCTAGGGCCGTGGTTTCTCCCATACCTCGTGGCCCCTGTTCCTCTGTGTCCTCTTCATTTGGCACGGCTCCTGGGCGCCCCCCTCCCGCCCGCATACCCTTGGCCGTGATGCGTTGATCCCCCGCTCCCTGGCGCTCCTCTCCAGCTCACCCGGAGACCTCCGGAAACCGCCGTCGTAGTCGTTGGGGTCGTCGTCGGCGTGGGCATTGTCGGCGCCCTCGCCGAACATCGAAGCTCGAGTAGCGAAGGTCAAGGGCAATCGTTTCTAGCCTGTCCTCTCTAGTGGAGCTCTGCTGGCCTCTCCAGCGACGTCGTCTGTCGTCGCTGGACAGGCAGGAGGAAGGGGGAGCAGAAAGCCGGAGAGAGGGGGAGCGAGGAGAGGTGGAGGACGGGGAGGATCTGTGGACCCCAGGCCCTGGCCAGTTGGAGTAAGCTATCAAAGATCTGGGGCCCCAGAGGCCTCGGGAGGCTCAGAACACATGGTCTGTCGAACTCACAGGCCTCGATCATCGCCTTATGATGCTCCAGCCTACTTTGGCGTTGATCACCAGGAAGGATTTCGAGAGCCCCAAAAAGTACCGAACCTCAAGGGCTTTCACGTGTCGGGCCCTGGGAGACACTTGCCCGACACTGTTTCGACCTGTTTTGACACTCTTTTGACATTTTTCGGGTGCTCGAAATTATGTCTGGGATGCGGTCCGTAAGTAGGATGGGAACAACATAATCATCGCCCCTCTTCGATCCTCGATCGTCCGCGAATCCCAGTCCGAGGAACAGGTATCCGCACTGTCACTATTGACAGGGGCACAACGGGTAAGGATGTCCACGACGTTTCCCTCGAGCTGGATATGGGAGGTGTCCCGACTAGGACGAGGAGGGGTGGCTGGAGCACCACCACCGCGAAGACCCTCTCAGCTTTTCGGGCGGTGGCCTTGTGCACCCGTCGTGACCTGTGCACTCCTTGGAGGTCTGGACCCCTTCCCGAGTGCTGCAGTACCTCGTCTTCACCCCGAGCAGTTCCTGGCGGGCGTGGGGCCAGGTTGGGCCTCCCCGAGGGGCAGACATCTCCAGAGCGTTCTGTCACGATGCGGGCGGGGGCGTAGAACAAGAGCCCTGCAGCTGCTCCTGAGCGGTAATTTTCTAGATATCCTGTACCCCCTGGCCCGAGGGGCCCCCAGCTTTTCGCCTGATTTGGGGGCCCCTGGGGCCCTCTGGGCCTCGCGAGAGGTGCTCTGGAGGCTGTGTCGGCCTCCCTGAAAATCCTTGGGGCACTTTGGGCCAGGGCCACTTCTGGCAACACCCCTCAGGGAGTGGGGGAGGTGGAGGAGGAGGAGGAGGAGGAGGAGGAGGAGGAGGAGGAGGAGGAATAGGGGGGGAGGAGGAGGAGGCGAAGAGCATGGTAATTCGGCGAGGATTTTCATGACGGCGGCACGGATGCCCCGTGTCCTTGCCCCTTCAGAGCGGTGGGGGAGGTGGAGCCACACCGCGGGCATGTCGGAGGGGATAACGACGTTCTGCCTGTTGTTTGGAGAGAGGGGGGCGGTTCTGTCAAAGCGTTCTGGCACGACGTTCATGGCCCTGTTTCCCACCACCACCATCAGTTGGAGGGGGAGGAGGAGGAGGAGGATGAGGAGGAGGAGGAGGAGGAGGAGGAGGAGGAGGAGGAGGTGGTGGAGGAGGAGGCGGACGAGGACGAGGAGGAGGAGGACCCCCTCCCCCTCCAACTGATGGTGGTGGTGGTGGGGAACAGGCCCATCAGACGTCCTGTCGTTCCACAGCTTTTTCTGCCGCGACGCGGGCGTCCAACCGGCGCGGGGCGGCGCGACGGAGACCGGCGGGCGGCGTGCGGCCGCAGGTGGCTCTCGGCCGCGCCGGCGGACCTCTCGGAGGCGCAGGCGCGAGCGCGCGGCGGCGCGGCGGCGGCGTCCTCTGCGCACCGAGGGCAGGCGTGTGGTGAAGGAGCTCATTTTCCACCACGACTACCATAGGTAGGAGGAGGAGGAGGAGGAGGAGGAGGAGGAGGGGGAGGAGGACCTCCTCATCCTTCCTTCTCCCCCCGTCCTGCATATGGTAGCGGTGGTCAAACCTGGGTCCATCGGGGGACGTTTCGAGATTTTGGTGGTGCGGGGGAATTTGCCCAACTGCAGGCGTTTCGAGTTTTTTTTTGGGGGGGGGGGGGGGCTCGAGGTATCTGGAAAGTTTCAGCCGCGTGCAGAGGGGGGTGGGGGGAGGGGGAGGGCTTCTTAGAAGCACCCCTGCTTCTTAGAAGGCGCGGGCCTTATCTATAGATGTAAGGCCGGCGCCTTCTAAGAAGCAGCCTCCTTCTAAGAAGCCCTCCCCCCTCCCTCCACCCCCTTGTCCGCGCCGCCAATAGTTGTCCGGAGCCTCTGCGGGTCCCTGAAGGGTCTTCTCGTCTCGGGGTGCTTTCTCTCCAGTGTTCAGTCGGGCCTGTCCTTCTACAGGAGGTATATCCAGAAATAGTTTTTTTTTTTGAAAAAACAAAATCATAGTCTGGGGACCATATTGTGACCATGTTTGAACATTTTGGGGGTATGTTTTGAGTATTTTTCACTTTTCCTCCAAAGTCCTCCTGCAGGGGGACAGGCCCGACCTGACTCTGGCGGCGGCGCGTGGCCGTGGGCGTTTCTTTTGCCTCGCGAGCGGCCGCCAGGGGCCCGAGTCTTTTGATCGTGGCCTGCAGACCGGAGCTCCGCGCAGACCAGAGCACAGGACTCCGCGGGCAGTTTTTGGCCGTGCTCGGCCTCCGCGGGCCAGAGATGGCCTCGCGAGCGGCCGCCAGGGGCCCGAGTCTTTCCATCGTGGCCTGCAGACCGGAGCTCCGCGCACCAGGAGCACGTGTGCGGCGTGCACCAGGAGACGACGGGCAGTTTTTGGCCCGTGCGCGGCCTCCGGGGGGCCTGCAATCTCGGCCTCCTATTGGATGGGGTCGGAGGCCGGAGCGCGCTGCGTACCGGGAGCAGGGAGGAGAAGCGGGCCGCTTGTGGCCGCGTCCGGCCTCCCGGGGCCTTCAATCTACAGGGCAGTTTTTTTTATACATAGTTTTCTTTAACCCAAAAAGGAAAATATGTTTAAGACATGATTGATTTAGGAATACATTTATACATGAACTCATCGCTGTTTGTAACACTAAATCCCTGCATTTTCAATACATGATCCGCACGCGGAGCATGTATCAAAAACGGCACTCTAGGCCTCCTAGATGGGGTCAGAGTAGATGGGGGTCGGAGGATCCCGATGCATCGCCGATGCATCGCCGATGCATCGGCGATGCATCGCCGAGGCGGCTCGATGTGGGGCCCACTTTTCTCCACGCCGACGTCGCCGATGTAGCGGCCGCCGTAGGCCCGAGGTAAAACCTGGTATGGCCTGAAGACCGGAGCTCCTCGCACCAGGAACACGGGACGACGCCGTGTGCGGCCTCCGGGGGCCTTCCACGGTCCCTGGGGCCGTGACTTCGGATGCAACTCATGGGAGGTAAATTTCTGACGTTGCCTTGGTCCGAAATCCGTCTTCAGTCTGACGTAATCCCGCTTCTAATCTGGCGTAATCCCGCTTGATCCGGCTTGATCCCGCTTGATCTGCGGCCTCGTCTGGCGTAGCATTACCCCCATGGGGCTCAATTTTCTTTGTATCTTTCCGAAGAAGACCTCCCAGGAGTTGCCTCCCAGCGTAACCACAACCAGTGCTCGTTTTCTGATTCACCGTCTTGCCGATCGGCGCGGGCCCTCGCCCTCCCCCTTCCCCCCCCATGGAGTAGATCTTGGCTGTTTTTCGTGCCTGTTTCGAGCATCGAGCAGGTGTGGTCTCTCCCCATAGCACGCACTGTTGCAAACAGTCGCACTAAGCAGACGTCTGGAGCCAGACCCCCCGCCCCCCCCATTCGGCCCCATGTCGAAATGCCGAATCAGAAGACGCTCACCTACTCGAGTTAAACATCCCATCCCAGGGAACGAATGGGGTCCAGATCTCTTGGGGTCCACGTTGTGGGAACATCACGACCTCGAAGGTCTGGGTCGACAGATCCCCCACCCTGCCAAGGCGATTTGCCGAGGGCCCTGTTCTGATTCTCGAGGGAGCGCGCTGCGCCCGCGGTTCTGATGCAGGCCTTCGCCCGCCAGGCATGGTCGCGGGCTGCCTTCACTGACGGCGGTCTGTCCACCCCAGGCCCTGGAGCCAAGACATCCGAAGGTAAAACTCAGGAGATCGCAAACATGGATCAAGGGGGCGTGGATTAGCGACGGGCCCCGCTTCCATGGGAAATCGCGGATTTCCACCGCCGAACGCGGCGGCACCGGCCGCATTTTGGGCAGGGCACCTCCCCCGATCCATGAATCTGGCGACCGCGCGCCAAATCCATGGGTCGCTGATCCATGTTTGCCCGCCCCCGAAACACATGGTTGCTTTGAGTTAGCTCCTGTCGCTCCCATGTGCTCACAGGGTCGCCCAGCGAGGAGGAGTCTGTCAGGAGGGGGGAGTCCATCCAGAGCTGCACAAGCGGCAGCACTCGAAGGTCCGCGCGGCTTTCTTGGGTCGGCGCCCGGCGCCTCCTTAGGCGCCACCCTTGGCGCGTTTCGAGGGCTGGTGGAGGAGGGTCCACCGGCGGTCCAAGAAAACTGCGCGGACCTCCGACAAGTAATGTTGATTGAATAAATTGCCGCCCCTCGAGTTGAAAATCGTTCGGGTCACCACCAACCCGTGCGATCTGCGCGGATCTCCAAACTATTCAGATGATGTGGTTGTTCTCCCAGTCAGAAGAAGGTGGCAGTCAGAGGGTCGAGCTGCTTTCCACCCTCGTGCAGGCAGATCTCGCCTTCCGTGCCCAGGTGCCAGGTCAGGGGGACTCCTTGAGCTCCCCGCAATTGGGCTGCCAGCAGCCCGTGCCGTGTGTGATGGACAGCGACTTGGCCCGATCGAGGAAGGAGGGTGGAGGAGGAAGAGGGAGGCGAAGGGCAGTTCGAGGAAGGAGGGAAGGTTGAGGAGCAGGGGGGAACGCGAGACTCCTCTGGCCCTCTTCTGTGCCTCTAAGGGATCCTGGAGATGTCGGCGAGATCGCCGTCACCGTCGCCGTCGACGCGTCGCGCAGTCCTGGTCGTCGCCGCTGAAATCGTTGTCGTCGCTGCCGCGGACGTCGTCGCTGCCGTCGTCTCCGCCACCGCCGTCACCGCCGCCACCGCCGTTGTCGTCGATCGTCTATCGTCGCCGCCGCCGTCGCCGCCGTCGATCGTCGCCCGTCGATCGTCTAGCGTCGCCGTCGCCGTCGCCGCCGTCGATCGTCGTCGTCGACCGGTGCCAGCGCCGGGGGGGCTCCGTTTCCACAACGACCCGCGTATCCCGGGCCAGAGGAGGTGGAGAGGGGGCCCGAAGGCCGTCAGAGGGACCCTTCAGATGCAAGCGAACAGTCAGGCCGTACGTTTGCTCGCCGTCCTCCATCCCGAAGGGCTTGTCGACTTTTTCGCCAATCGACTCGTGGGGATCGAGCCAGATAAATCCAGGGAAATGCAGATCATTCGAGGTAAATCCAGGCACATCGAGATACATCCAGGCATATCCAGGCAAACCCAGAGCTCTCCAGGGCAAGCTGGAGCACCTCGCGGCCGACCGGGGCGCGAGCCGAAGGACGGCAGAAGTCGTCAAGCCTTCAACGACTCCAATAGGATCGAAGCCTCCAGTCGGGGTCTGTCAGGCCGAACGACGGGGGGGGGATAGGGACAGGGGGGTACGAAAGTTGCTGCATGTAGCTGATTTCGTCCCCGCCGCCAGGCCCATTCCTCGATACATGGGCGCGGGAGTCGGGGGCGGAAAAGAGGGGGGTGATGACTAAGGGAGGGTGCATATCATGGCGGGGCCATGATATTTCCCCAGATTTCATGGCGCCCCTTCTTATTCCGTTACGTCCCTGGTCCCCCGCTGGGCCGCGCACATGCCGCCGGTCATGATTTGCACACACCCCTCTTGGACACCCCCCTCTTGGCCGCTCCCGAGGGAGGCGCCGGGAAAATCAGCTACGTGAGCTGATCCTCAAACCCCCCCTTTGCTATCCCCCCCCCTGTCGCCCGGCCCGAGTCTGACCTCCAGCCCCTCGAGCGCCCAGGCCCTGGAGCTCACGCCGGCTGCCCCCGAGGACGTGCCCGCCAGGCGCCCGCCCGCTGGGCCCGCGCCGGGGCGCCCCACGCCCCACGCCCCCCCCCTCGGGTGGCGGCCTCCCCCTTCTCGGCGGCGAGCGAGGGGGGGAAGTGAGAAGGACCCAGACCCCCTCAAGTCGTGAAGAATTCGCGACGGGAGGTTTTTCGCTATTCTCGGCCCCTGGGAGCCCTTGCCGGCCTTCGGGACGGTCGAAAGAACGACTCGGGATGAAAAGCCGGTCCCGGGGAAGGGGTCCAGACCTCTGGGGGTCGCGTCATGAAAAAATCATGACGTCGGGGGTCTGGGGAGAAGGCCTTCTCAGAAGGCGGCGGGACTTCTCAGGAGCCCTCGCGCCTTCGGAACCGTGTCCTCCGTCTTCTGGGGGAGGCTCAGGGAGCTTCTCGGAAGGCCCGGGGACTTCCGATCCTTCTGAGAAGGCCTTCTCCTTCTCACTTCCCCCCCTCGCTCGCCGCCAGCCTTCGGAGCATCGGGCAGCTTAGCTGCCTCGATACGCTCGTTTTGAAGCGCAACACGTATCGTGCGCAAAACGTCCGTGTCAGTACGTTCCGTGCTGCTCAGCGTAGCTATTGGCCCGCGTTTTGGCGAGCGCATTGGCCCAGACCTACGTTCTCGGTCTGCGTGGTGAGTTCCGTATCAATGCGCCACGTGTTGCGCGTTGCGTACCGGGGCAGGCAGCTAAGTCGGGCAGTGCTGGGGGGGGGGGGGCACAGTGGGCAGGTCACCACCTCCGCTTGGAAGTCGAGGATCGTGGCCGGGAGTGCGTCGGGCTGCGTCGGGAGGGGAGGCTCCAGGGGGACGCATCGGCAATCGCCCATGCATCGCCGGTGCGGGGCTCGCTCGCTCCATCCCCCCATGGGAACATGCGGCCTCGCTAGCCAGAGCCAGTCGCCGATCTGTCGGCGACGTGTCGCCAATGCAGGCTCGATGGTTCTCCCCCTGAGCTGGTCCCCCCCTCCCTCAGGGCCAGAGGCGTCAACAGAACAGGCTGGTGGTCCTGCGGCTCAGGCTTTCCCTCCCCAGGGCCACGCAGCCTCCGACGAGGGGGGGGGGCTGGGAACCGGCGCTGGTCCGAAATCTGCCGCGCGCAGCCAGTTCCGGCCACGTGGGCAACCAGTTGTGCGGGCCGATTCGTTACCCCCCCCCTTTCGCGCGACCTGCTCCATTCAGAGCGCAGGTGGGACTTGCGCACGGCGTGCGTGGGGCGCGCGCCGGCGTGCCAGGCAGCATTGGGGCTGACCCCCTCGAGCACGGGGGGGGCTTCCCCCTTCGGCGCATGAAGCAGTGTTGAGAGGGTCAGCGCTAGGGAGGTCACCACCTTGAAGTCGAATATCGTGGCGGGGGCGGGATCTAGGATCCGGCAGGTTTGAGACGTTTCCTGGGCGTCTCTGGAAGACCTGGTCCATGAGCACCTGGATTGCGATCTGGGACCAGAAACGGGGCCCCAGGGAAGGGGTCGAGACTTTTGTTGGGCCCGCGCATTGATCAATAATAGTGGCGGCGACGACGGGATTCAGATTACGTTTGCTCCAGGGGCTTCTCCGAGCCTCCAGCCAGGACCCCTGGACGGCATCGTTGGTTGTTCCATGTCTTCTGTTTTCTTGTCGCGGCGGTGTTCGGATGCGCCACCGTGGCGACGGTTGGGCGCGGCTCGCGGAGTTCGCCTGGAGGGCGTCCGAGAGGCTTCGGGGACGGAGTTCGAACGAATGGGCTCCGCCGGCGACGACGACGTCGGCGGTGCCAGCGCCAGCAGCGGGGAGGATTCCGTACTTCTTCGTCTGATGCCGGGGATGTTTTGGCAACACGTGTACACGTACGCGGTCAGTTCTTTGTGACTTGCGTTTGAACGCGGTCATTTGTGCACGTGGGACCGCGGAGGGCGTATATGTACATACACCTTTGCTCGTACAGAATGTCCGTTGCGTCTCCGGGTATGCTCAGATGCTTCCCGGCGTTGCCGGGCGTCCTCAGACGATCTCCGAGGTTTCCGTGTGCGTTCCAGCGTACGTGTTGGCACGTTTACGGATGAGGTCGCCTATCGGAGGTCTCTCGAGGAAAGGACAACATGGATTGAGGCGCGTGGATTAGCGGCGTCTTTGGTTCCACACCAAACTGGTGCACTCCGTCGCCACATCGGGGGGCAGTGGTGCATGGTTTCGGGCGCTGCGTTCCCCGATGCGTGATCTGGCGCCCGCGCGCCAGATGCACGGATCCCTGAGTTGGCGCGTGCCCGAGTGTCCGACGATTCTGTTGTCGGACGGTATGCACAGTTCCCGAAAGGACGTCGTTTCAGAGGATGGTTGAATCATTGATTTGGTATCGCTCGGACGTGTGCACTTTTCCCGGCGGGGATTATTAAGGAGCATCCTGGATCATCCTGCGAAGAAATCGCGCACGAAACCGAAAAAAAACACAGGGGCTGGACGTCCGAGCGACGGGGAGTTGACCAGGAGGGGACAGACGATGAGGAGGAAGGGTGGACGAGAGAGTTGGAAGGTGGAGAAGGAGGGGGAGCACGGGAACAGCAGGCGGAGGCAGGAAGGTGTTTGCTCCCTTCCCTTGCGGGCGAGGGATGCCATGGTTGGGGCCCTCACGGGGGGTGGGGGATAGGCAGGAGGGGGGGATGAGAGAAGAAGGAGGAGGATGTGGAGGAGGAGGAAGAGGAGGAGGAGGAGGAGGAGGAGGAGGAGGAGGAGGAGGAGTATTAGGAGGATGAGGAGGAGGCATAGGGGAAAGGAGGAGGGGAGGGATGAGGAGGAGGAGGAGGTGCCAGTTTATTGGCAATGGGGACTTTTCACAATTCCGAAGGTCTTTACAATAATGTATTCTTCTTTGCGGGGAGTTCCCCACTGAAAGACAACCGTCATAGAACACTTCACAGTGCCAAAACACAATTCCTGGGACTTCCACGCATCGAATAAACTTGACCCCGTGCGCCCTGACAATCCGAAATTATGACAGGATACCAGAGCACCATTGCTAGGACTTCGACACCGCGAATCAACGCGATTGTTGCGTCCTGGCAGTCCTAGACTGTGCCACAGCACCATTCCTGGGACTTCAGCCTTACGAGCCCTCGAAACGGTTACAAACGTTTACGGCTCAGGCGAGAGGCACATGTTAAACAAGGACCCGCTTTCCATCCTTGAGTGTTGCACATTTTGAGGCGAGAGCCACATGTCGAGAGGACCCACCCGCGGCGTGAATGCGATAGCCACAGGTTCAGCGTTTGCTGCAACATTTTAGACGCATGCACGCGGCGGAGTGGCGATCGCCATAGTTTGAAAAGGACCCGCTCTCCATCCTTGCAGCTGCTGCAATGTTCAAGCTTCAGGGCCATAAGTGGTGCATGAAGGAAGGCTCAGGCGAAACGCTCGGCCCACCCTGCAGACACGCCCAGGGGTGCGGCAGGGAGGAACGACGTATAGGTATAAGGGGTGAGGGGGGGAACGGCCGTGCAGGATAAGGAGGGGGGAGGTGGAGAGGGGGGGGGACTAGCTAGGTGCGCTCACGTCATAACTGATATCCTACCCCTCTCTCCCATCCCTAACCATGGCGTAGATCTGCTCGCTGTTCGCACAGTCGGACGTCGCAGCATTGCATAGCATTACATGACATAGCATGGTGTTGAGAATCAACGCGTAGCATGACATAGCATGGCGTGGCGACGCCCCGAAGTGAAGGGGGCTTCTGCGGCCAAAAAATAGCGAATCGACACCGAATGTGTAATCACTTCGGATGTTTTTTTTCGGGGGGTATGTTTTTTAGATTTTGCGGCCTATTTGGAAGGACCGAAAACCGTGCCGTGTCACGGCACAGGGAATAATGACGCCAGCGCTGCAGCGGGAGCACGAGTCAGAACGAGCGGAAGCGCGGAAATGAGGCCAGCGCTGCAGCCGGAGCAACGTTTTGACAACAAACATCCGAAGCGAAAACTAAGTTCTTTGGCATCTTGTGTGTAAAAGATCCGTACGCGGAGGGGAAGAGAGGAGGAGGAGGAGGAGGAGGAGGAGGTGGAGGAGGAGGAGGAAGAGAGGGAGGATTAGGAGTAGGAGGAGGAGGAGGAGGACGAGGCAGGGGGGGCGCACCCACTGCGGGGGGAGGGAGGCCGCGGGAGGGCGCGCCTCGGGACGAGGAGTAGGAGCAGGAGGAGCTCCTCGTGTCGTCCCCCCTTGGCGCCTCTGGAGGTCCTGGCTGGGGTCGGACCATCACCACCTTCGTCATCCTTATCTTGATCATCGGCATCAACTTCATCATCACGCTTATTGGCAGCAGCTTTTGCAGCTTCAGCAGCATCAGCGGAAACATCATCACCAGCATCAGGATCAGCATGGTCGCCATCTTCACCTCCATTACGACCAGCATCATCAAACCCACACTCACCATCATCGTCAGCATCACCATCACACTACGTTATCGCCATCGCCAACATCATCATCGTCGTCATCATCATCGGCATCATCAGCAGCATCATCATCGTCTTCATCATTATCATCATGATCATCAGCATTACCATGATCACCACCATCATCATCATGTTCACCATCATCGTCACGCGCACTATCATAACCAGCAGCATCAGCATGCTTACCATCATTGCGCCACCATCAGGGCCAGCATGGTCGCCATAGCCGCCATCATTAACAACAGCATCATCAACACCAACAGCATCACCTCCACCATCATCATCATCAACTTCATCGTCGTAATCATCATTATGGTTATTGGTTTCAGATTTGCAGAATCCGCAGCACCTCAGCAGAAGCATCAGCACCATATCCATCATCATCAGCATCAGGCTCATCATGGTCGCCAGCTTCACCGATCTTCATCACAATACATCACCGCGCTCGTCGGCATCATCATCTGCACCATCAGCATATATCAGCATCGGCATTACCAGCATCATCGCCAGCATCATCACGGTTACCATCCAGAATATTTGCCAGCCGCATCACCAGCAGCACCAGCATGGCCACCATCCTCGCACCATC